ATCATGTTCTCCCGGTACATATGGTTTCTCTCCAGCTAAACCCACAGTCCAAAAACATGACTGTTAGACTAAGAGGTCTCTATATTTCCCTTAGTTATCAGGTTGGGGGTTGTCTAATTTATCCTGTGTGTCTCTGTGATGGACAGGTGACCTGTCTGGCATGAACCCCATCTTTTCCCAGTAGTGGCTGGAGATCAGCACTTACCACCCTGCAGGGTTAAAAGAATTTAAACAATGTAAATTAATAATACTGTATTGATAATATTTAGGTAATACAATGAAATCTAAGGGATTTAGAGTTTGGAAGGACTCCACAAAAATAACTTTCATCTTGTTTTTGAGGCAATTAAGATAACCATTGGGCAAGCTCATAGCTGCTCATCCTGCTGTCTGTGTGGCTCCTCATGGCAGTGAAAGGGTTCAATCTGGCAGCCTCTTCATTGCTTTCGTTCTACTTTTTTTTGTGTGATTTCTCCACATTATACATTTTCACTTCTTGCAAAAACAAATCCTAAAAAAAGCTGAGCCTGTTTATTTATTTCCTTATTGTTTTTCATCATCTTATTTAAAAACAACTTTTTCCCAAATAGATGCTACCTAAACTTTCCTTTTTTTCTTAGTGTGTTGTAAAACAACGATATTCCCCAGGCTGTGAGAAAAAACTTCATCAGTTGATTTTTTTTTTTATATATTCCCCCCTGTAATTTTTTCTACTAATTGAAATGTCTTTAAATACACATTAACATGAATTCAACACACTGTAGTAAACAGATAAATGGAGGCAGAAGATGTCTTTCAGTCATCAATGCACACATTCAGCGACACACAGGAGCTCTTTCAAGCTAAGCACCATTTCATTCACAACACCTGTCCCATCAACCAGGAATAAGAAATAATCCCAGGGAGAAATTACTTGAATTCCATTACTCCATATGTAATAGAGTGACTATAGGACCACTTTTTTTATAACACAATTTCATACAATATCTACAATTAGGGGTCCCCGCCCAATCTTTGGGGTCCTTGGCCTGGAAAACGTTGAAGACCCCTGTGTTAGGGTTTGAGATTTAAGTAAAAACTGAGTAAAATAATCACCTTCATTTGTGTTTTTTGGCTTTGGGAATTCCTTATTTCTATTCATGGATATTAAGAATGTAGCAAAATGAAACAAAGTGAGGCTGAAGGTACTGTTGGTGTGTTGTAGGGCAGTAGCTTGGGGAGTTTGCACAGAGAGAGTGCGCCGATCAGTAGCCCAGTTTAGGAATACGCAATAACTGTCAGTGTGGGTGTTCATATTGCTGGTTGTTTGTATTCCTTTACATTTTATTACATTCTGTCACAGTGCAGCTACTGCACAAGCTTTAATAAATAATCTGCAGCTCCTCCAGAGAAAACAGGGGCCTCCGCTCTGATGCAATTTCTCCTTTGCTGACCTCTCAGTGTTGGCAGTTTTGCAGCTGTGGTATTTTCTTACCATTTTCAGAAAAGTCTAAACATTGCTTTGGTTTGCTTTTTCTATAACCTAACTCTGCTTTAGATTCTCCACTACTTCATCTCTGACCTGTTTTCTGCGCAACTTGTCATCATAATATATATATATATATTTCCACAATCAACCTCCCCCTTTCTTCTGATTATCTAGACCCCTAACCTAACCAACTCCCAAGATGCACCTCCTGCTTTACCTAAGTTAAATACAGTATGCTATTCTATTAAAACTATTCCTATTGCCTTGAAATGTTCTTTATAAGCATTTTATTTTCTCCTTTTTGGTTGCTTCTTTTATAACAAATAGGACCTTGAAAAGGTGCAGGTCTGTGAAAAACTGAGTATCTTGCATGTAATGCTTGGGTGCAGCTAAATATACCCTACAGTTACTCCAGCTAAAAGAAGAGTTCAATAAAAATAAATAAATAAATAAATAAATAAATAAATAAAACTTCACCTTACAGGGAAAGACATTAACAGACTGTTCTCAGCAGCAGGGAAGGTGTCCCTACCCACCACCAGGAGGAGCCAACTTTTCATTAATTGTGGGGATGTAAACGCATATGTAGATATGATGAAACCTCTAAATACTTCCTTTGGATTTCTCATAGGGCTGTTTATATCTTAAAAACTGAAAGATTAACATCTTGCTCATCTTTATTGTCATTATGACACCATATGGGAATTTGGTTAAAACAGCTGACTCTGAATTCAACATATTGGAAAAAGACAATTAAAGACATTAAAAACACACAAATAAAAATAAAATAATATAAAATATACCCTCTCAGAAAATAAATGGCAGCAACACAGAAACGCCACAAAATATTAACCTTACAAACATTTGTAGAACAAGTAGACATCCTAAAGTGTGGCTTGTTGTAAAACAGCTGGTGGTTTATTTGATTGCCAGCAGAGGTGCGTTTGAGTGTTTCTGAGCAGGAGTGTGTTTCTGTGTGAGGGTGAAGTGCTTTTAGAACGGAACCAGTTTTAAGTCTTGTTTGCTATTAAAGCCATCTTTTTTGTATGGCAGTCATCCCTTTTCCAATTCTGCCCTGAGCACTGTTTCTATGTAAACTGTTCCAGAATAGCTGTATGTTCAGACAATAGATAAGAGATGATGAAAATATATAAAATAATAATAACAACAATAACAATAATTATTATTATTACTGAGTGTATATATTACACTGTTATATTTTTATAACTCAAAAAATCTAATATTAAAAATAATAACCATATTTATGTGTCATTTCTCTCTCTCTGTCATTTCTGCAGCCAACCCATCCTGTTAAAGTGCAGTGTGCAGCGCCTCAGGAACATTCTGGGGCTAAAATTGTACCTATCTTACCATCAACAGTCTTTACGAGCCTTTCCAGTCTGGTTTTCACCCCTCGCATAGTACTGAAAACGCCCAATAAAAAATCACAAATGATCTCCACACAGCTGCTGATTCTGGACTCCTCTCCATCCTCATCCTCCTCAATCTTAGTGTGGCCTTTAATGCCCAGGGGTGTACTTATAACTTTCCCTCCACTACATTTCGAAGGAGCTAGTAGTTACTCGTTACGTTTGGCTCAGCTTAGCTTTGTAATCTGCTGTTGCTGTTTTTGAAATGCAATTTCAGCATGCAGGATAGAAGCCCTTAGGACTGAATTTGGACACCACTGTTTTAGAGATTTGCATGAAATTCCACAAACGTAACAATCTCAGGGCAGATATAACTTGTAGTTTATAGTAGTTGCCATGGTGACACGTTTAGGGCAGTGTGGCCTAGGGCATAGAGCTCGTAATCCTGAGGTTCTGAGTTTGAGTCCCACTCCCACATACTGCCACTCTGGGTCTCTGAGAAAAGACCCTTAACCCCACTCTGCTCCCTGGGCGCCGCACAATGGCAGCCCACTGCTCCCCAAGGGGATGGGTGAAATGCTGATAGTTCATTGCGTTGCTCTGTACTTGTGACAGTGTAATGACGTAAAAGAGCTGGAAAAAAAAAAGTTTAGCATTTGATTTTTAGTATATGATTTGCGGTTTCTTTGTGGTAATAGATTCAACCTCTATTCCATAGAGAAAGTTTAAGGAGAATCAAGACTCTCCTGTTTTCACTTTGGAATGTTTTTAAATAAGAAATAATTATCAAAATACCTGTCGTTATTTTGTGTGGCATTTTTACACTGAATATGTAGCAGAGTGGTCCTACGCATCAATACATCCTGTGGTTTCTGAAAGTTACAATTACTCTGCAAATTATACATAAACGCACTGCCATTATAACATTTTTTTATTTGTAACTTAAAAAAATGTAACCTTACTGAGCACTTCAATACTTTAACTTGAGTAGATGCTTGACCCAGTAACTTTTACTTGTAGATTAATAAGATTTCACTATGAGTATCAACACTTCTACTCAAGTACTACTGGTGAATCATTCTTCCACCACTGGTTTAGGGCAAGCCCTCTTTAACAATTAAAACCCAGATGATGAGTTGACGGGAGTAAAATAGTCTAAATTTTTTCCAAAACATAAATCGGTGTGTTATTTATTCTGTCTTCACATCCATCCATCCATTTTCAGACATGCTTATTCCCAAGTGGGGTTGAGAGGGGTGCTGGTGCCTATCTCAGCTGTCTACAGGCGGGGTACACCCTGGACAGGTCACCAGTCCATCGCAGGGCAACACAGAGACAAACAGGTCAAATAACCATTTGTGCACACACTCACACCTAAGGAGAATTTAGAGAAGCCAATTACCCTGAAAGTCATGTTTTTGGACTGTGGGAGGAAGCCGGAGTACCCGGAGAGAACCCACGCATGCTCAGGGAGAACTTGCAAACTCCATGCAGAAAGACCCAAATAAATCAATCAAAGGTGTTGAATTTTGTATGTGAATGTTTCAAAATTTAAATAAATACATAAATGAAGGAATAAATTAAGTTGGGGCTGCTCAGTGGGTAGCACTGTTACCTCGCAGCAAGAAGGTTCCGGGTTCGATTCCCGGCCTGGGGCCTTTTTGCATGGAGTTTGCATGTTCTTCTTGTACATGCATGGGTTCTCTCCGGGTACTCCGGCTTCCTCCTACAGTCCAAAAACATGTCTGTTAGGTTAATTAGCTTCTCTAAATTCTCCTTAGATGTGTGTGAATGGTTGTTTGTCTCTGTGTTTTCCTGTGATGTACTGGTGACCTGTCCAGGGTGAATCCCGCCTGTAGACAGCTGCAGATAGGCACCAGCACCCCTCGCGACCCCAGCAGGGATGGAAAATGGATGGATAAATAAAGTTATAGCTCCTAGTAAATCAGAAACTCAAACTGTGTTTCTGAGCTTTACCCAGCAGATGGCGCTCCAGACCGTTTGGGTCTGCAGCTGCCCCTCCTGTGCGGTGCGCTGCGGTCCTGTTTTCCACTCCTGCATGATGAGGCTGTGCGTGAAGCAGCAGCGCATCCAACACGACTGGGGAGGAGGCGGATAACGCGCAGAGCAGACAGCCTCTGTCCACGAAACGCACGCATCCTCTCAGAAACAAGAGGAAGCATGAAGAGCACCGAGGCACTGAGGGGTACATCTTCATCTGCAGAGGACTGAGTGAAGCCGCAGCATGGCGGGGGGGCGGAGGGGACTTGTGGCCCCTCAGAATACTTTTTTGGAAAATATTGTCAGGCGGTCGAACGGTAAGGATGATGATTATTACAAATGTTCACTAAGCTGCAAAGGTGTAAATAGTTCAGCAAATATCTAAATCTAGGTTAAAAAAACAAAAAACAAAAAAACAGAAACAAAACAATCCAATAACTGAAGCATCTAAGGAGGAAAGAAGCTGATTAGTTGCACTGAATGTAACATTTCTTTTTATATGTAAAAGTTCTTTCAGAAAACTACTGGAGTGTGTCTGGATCAAGTTAATGAAATTAGTGAAATCTATTTTCAGAATGATTGGTTTTTTTAAAAGCATCAATTTGAAATCAGGAGTCCCTGCAGTGCAAGAAGAGAGGAGAGACAGCAGGTTACTGTAATCATTAAATTGATTACATAAGACCACTGGAAGTCTCCCGCTGAGTCGATTATGGACCTGATAGGATGGAGAGGGATTTCTAAAAGATGCTGATTTTGAGCATCTAGCAAGGTGCAGAATTGCCACAGAGCTCATTATCATTCCTGGTGTGGAGAATCAGCTTTGAGGCTGCAGTTTGAAACTCAACTTAAGCCCTTGTTGCAAATCCCTGAGGATGTTAAGATTTAACATCCAGCATTAACTAAACAAAAGATTCTGCTCATCAAGTCAAAACAAAAAAATGTTTTTTTTATTTTCCTATGTGGAGTAGTGCTGATTTTTAAAAAGTAGAATACAATAGCATAATTAAACAAGCAATTACAGACTGAATCGAGGTAATTTTTTGTGGTAATCTCTGTTTTCACAATCATTAACAAAGCATGCATGAAAAAATAATAATGATATTTCATAATATCTTCAAATTGGAATGGACACAAATGTTTACTGATAGAGACTGGATAATTCATCATAATGGACACAGAAATGTGTTTAACCCCATGTGCAAATTGAAAACTCAGCTGAAAGCCCTGTGTGTTGTATTCTGTCACCCTTTGGCCTTTATAAGATGAAATAGAAAGTGACAGGATGTGCTGGAGAGGTGTAACACTGAGCAGTGATCTGTGACGCTGGAGCAGAGATTCTAGTGTATTTTCCAGTGCGATCCAGCTTTTGGGCCACACTGTACAGTATGTGTGCATATCCCATTCATTTTGTCCTGAGCTGTAATCATAGCTTTCTGTTGAGTTCCATTTTTCATGTTGAAAGCTTCAGCTTCACTATCATTGATAGCTGTTTGCATTTAGATTCTTCAGTGACAAAAAAAAAAAGATTTTGGGCATAAAATGTTTTAAAAAAATGTAAAAATGGCCTTGTGCTTCGTTATTTGGTTTACATTTTATGCAATCTATAATCCTACAGGACATCATTTAGACAGTGGTGGGTGGAAGCTCATGGACCATAAATAAAACATTTCATTTTATGTACTTTTAAATAAACAGCTCGTCACAAGTGCCTAGTCCTATGGATTTTTCCCATTCGTTGCCAGTTGCTTGTCTCATACCACTAATTGCCTAATGATGGCAAGCTGTTAAGCCTCCATTAAAACCTGTTATAAATCTCTCTCTGCAGACATCTTTACATTCTAGCGTAGAGATAACAGAAAAAAGTGAACAACCACCTTTAAACAAAGAGAACACCACGGACCTTAGAGCAGCCTGCAGATGTGGATGAATTTGTCAGCAATCCATAAACATGAACACAATACACTAATACTCACCTCCATTATTAACACCTCTGGTAAAGCTGCACCACTGTAAGTATATATTTATACGATGAGAGAATTTCTACATAGGATGATTTTCTTTATATTTTTCAAACCGATTCACACAATTATTGCTCTTCTCTCAAAACCTAGTTTCACTCCTGATTAACTCAGAGTGAGTTTTTTTTATAATTTAGGTCTCATCTGATTGAGGCACACAGTTACAGTGAAAGTCCCAGTGGAGCTTAGAGAATCTCAGGCTTCTGTTTGCGAAGGCAGGACAAAAAGGCCATTTTAGTGGCATCACTCTCAAACACCCAGTTTAACTGTTGCTGTAGGTGCTTAGTGGCCCCAAGAGACAATACTGCTGTTCTCCGGGTTTTTTTTAACCACTGTTTCTCATTGTGCATTGGAACTGGATAAATATACAGTATGTTTGCCTCCAGGCTAGTGACTAAGAGAAACAGGTCTCTGCATCTCTTTTTACAGTTATACTCTGGGGAAACAAGAAGTCATGGATTACTATACAAATAGCTAGAAACTCTGAATTGTTGAAAAAGTAATTTAATTCATTTTAAAACCATTTCTGCTAGAGGTAGACTGATACTTCTTGCAATACTTTTATGCAGGCCTTGCCTTTAGATCACATGAGGCGCATTCATTTCTGCGTTCTCCATTTATTATCCATTGGTAGTCAGAGGTGTCAAAGGTACAGTATTTGTTTTTTACTCAAGTAGAAGTATAAATCCTACTGTTTAAAAACACTTTTGTAGAAGTTAGAGTATCGACTTAAGCTTTTTGCTCAAGTAAAATTGTAAAAGTACCATTTTTTTTAAAAACTACTTAAAGTATAAAAGTAGAAGTAATGCAGGAAAAAAATGTTTAGGATTAAGGCTTTAAAACTCATACTGGTTACTTTACTATACTATTAAAGGAACAGTTTTTCTACAATTCTGGATGATAACATCCTTATATTTAATTTTCTTAGTTTTATAACTAATGGCAAGAGTGCCAAATTCCACTTAGCATCTTCTTGAAAGATTATTTATTTTGGTATGTGGTGAACAACAGACCATACACTAACAAATCCATTTTTAAAATGTAAGGCGTAGAAAGTAGAGATAACTGTAAAAAAAAATGTAAGGAGTAGAAGTAAAAAGTTTTCTAAAAAAGAATTACTCCAGTAAAGTACAGTATGTATAACCAAAATTTCTACTTAAGAAAGGTAACAAAGTATTTGTACTTTTTTACTTGACACCTCTTTTGTTAGTGTTATGTTTGATTAATAAATGTTTACCATTTTTACTGGCTTTAAAATCTGCAGTACAGGTTAAAGTTAATTTCGACTTACAGTATATCTAAATAATTGGTGTTGATCTTAATAAAACATGTACTAATTAATCTCTAAGAGCCATTGTAATAAATTTAGAATATATATATATATATTTACGTGGATGTTTTTTCCTACCAAACCAATGTGATCAAGTTAAAGGGTTCATTTTAGTAGAACCACCTGTTTGAGATAATGATTGAAATAAAAGAAGAGTATCGTTCATGAGGGCTACTGACAGTTTTTTCCTTATCTGTACTTGAGCCATTTTGGAAGTAAGGAGATGTTGAAACAGTTTATACTGATTTTTGATAACTTATTTGCCCACACAGAGTAAAATCTCTGGGCTTTGATGGGCCTCGTGGCATTCGGCCTGTTGAAAAGCCCTTTTATAGACCCGATATCAGTACTGTGACATGTGTCTAACTTGTTTTCTGTGTTGTGGCAATGGAACAGGAAATTGAGTCCGATAGTCCAGGAAAAGGTATTTCTTGTAACTGCAGGAGCACAGATCAGGCTTTTCTAGACTGAAACTGATTTCCGGGTCGAGCCTATTTTCACTCTGACTGATTTGTTTTGGGTTTTTTTTCCAAAAGACTGTAGGACATATAAGGAAACTAAATGTGCTGCTGCTTTTTAAAAAAGAGGTATTTGCTTTTGGTTAACTGATAATAAAGCGATTGAAAGGTTATTCCTAATTTTGCATAAAAATATATATACCTAATCTTTATCTTATTGTACATTAATATACAAAAATGGAAAAAAGCTGCATTAAAAACATACTGTTGGTTCATGTCTGTATAAAAAATATCTGGAACTTCTGACTTCTGTTGTGTCTAAAAACATACTTTTTTTATAGAATTGGATCTAGGGCTGTAACAATTATTGGGATTAATCGTAATTAATCGATAATTGAAATAACAGTCAACAATAGTAATCAATTACTTGTTATCTTAAGTATAGAAGGTCTAAAATGCCTTTAGCTAACAGAGCAACCCACTTAGAGCAGTAATTATATCAAAATTGTAAAAAAGAGTATATAAACATTTTGGGTTTAAGATAAAAAATGTGCTCTATCCAGAACTATTCAAGTGGCAAAGTTTGAGTTTCATCTTGTTTAATTGAGTGAAAAAATGTTTCTTCAAGGAATATTTTTCTATCCTATTATTAATCGATTAATCGGAAAAATAATCAACAGAATAATCGATTTGCAAATTTATTGTTAGTTGCAGCCCTAATTAGATAATTAGAAATGTCATTGCACTTTTGATTGCAAATTTTCTTTTTTGACTATGATTTTCCCTGAGGAAGAGAAAGGACCAGGGATAGTAAGTGAACCCCCCATAAACCTCAAAAGTGGAATATTGTTGTAAATCCTCTTTATATCATTAAGATTAACATTCATTTCCAATACTAACTTTATTTCCTGTCATCCTAGTGGTCAATATATTTTCTGCTTATGTTATTTATTCTTGCTTGTCAGCAATCTGGAAGAAAATCAAACAGTTTTGTTTTTTGTGTTGCTGTGCCTGTTTTGCATCAAGACTAAATATTGCTTTACTGTTGCATCGACATCAGCAGCCAAGAAAACATTGGCACTCAGAGCAGTGAAGCTTACGAAGCATTATATGTGTGATGCATGTTATGCCGTATACTGTCAGGTCCTATATTTATTATTTCTTGGCACCTTTTTTAGTATATTGAATAAATGGTGGCAAAAAATACACTTCTAAAGGCTAGGGTTTTAAAATTTTGTAGAGATATGTCTTGATTCTTGCTTTCAGTAAGTACATTTTTTGCAGCTCATTGCAAAGTATATGAAATGCAGTATATGAAATACAGCTAAAAGAATCAAGTTAATTATATATTTGAAGTTCATAAGGTCTATACACCTTTTTCAAACACTGTTTTCTGTTGTTTTAGGGACAGAATAAATAAAAAATGTATATTAAAACCATGGTATCGAGTAATGAACAATATGGTTTTAGAAGCAGCCAATCCACTCAAACGGCTGTTGCTAAATTAGTGGATTATATTGCGTCAGTGATAGATAAAAATAAATTTGTTTTGTTTTTGTAGACCTCAAGGAAGCCTGTCAGATTTTAAATTATAAACTATTGCTTAATAAACTAGAAACTTATGGCTTCAGAGAACAAGCTTTATCCTGGATAAAAAGTTATCTTAACAGGTGTAAGTATGTTCACTTCAATGAGCACCAGGCAGAGAGGCTTGGTGTAACTTGCGGGGCGCCCAATGGTTCTCTGATTGGTCCAAAGCTGTTAATATTGTGTATAAACAATATTTGTCAGGTTTTTCAAATATAAAAATCTGTGCTTTTTGTTGACGGCACAACCCTGTATGAATCAGGAGACAATATTCAACAACTTATGACTGATGTGACTAAAGAATTGTCTAAAATAAATCATTGGTTTGATAAAAATTAATTATATTTTATTATAAGCAGAAAAAAAAAATACATTATATATATATATATATATAAAATAAATCATTGGTTTGATAAAAATTAATTATATTTTATTATAAGCAGAAAAAAAAAATACATTATATATAATAACAAAAATGGAAAACAGTGAGGACTGAAAGATTGAAGAAATTGTTTTTAATGGATACGTTAAATCAAATTTCTTGGGATAACATTAGATCATAAATTATCATGGAAACAACATTTGGTTGTTCAGAATAAAATGTTAAAATTGTTAGCCTTATTACACAAAACCAAGTATTTCCTTTAACCCAGCCGATCCTTCACCTGCTCTATTGTTCTCTCGTCGTACCATACATGATGTGCATTGTGTTTTTATGATCTGGCCAGTATAAAAACCGCTGTTTTTGTACAAAGTAAAAAGTAAGTTGTTGGCAGAAAATATTTTCAGTTTGTTTTTAAATAGGGAAAATATCTTTCATCTGAGAGGTGAAAATATGTAAAAAAAACAAAAAAGAACAACCAGGAAGAACTTATATCAAAATGAAAACTTTATCTTAAAGGAGTAGATGTGTGGAACGGTTTTTCTGATGAGCCTGAGCCTTTCAGTTTGTTGTTTAAAAAAACTGTTAAAAAAAGAAATCCTTCTTACATGCATTTGTATATATATATTTGTATTTTTAATTTTTTTTAATTTTTTTGGGACAATTGAATTCAGTCTTTGGTTGATGGGTTGGCAAGTAGGGCAGGCATCATAAGCCTGGGCTTCAGCCTATACCTTTTAGGTTGCTTTTAGGGGTAGGTTCAAATGTTTTGGTTCTTGTAGCTAAAATAAACATTTTCATTTTTTTTAATTTAGACAGATCAGATTAGATAACAGGATGGCTAAAAGAACATAGCAGAGCTGCTCTCTCCTTAATCCTTTTGAGCTTCCAGCCTCAGTCCATCATAAAGTTTCCTGGATTTAGAAATATAGACAGTTTTTCAGAAATCACACACTGAAGGAAATGATGTATGTCTTGAAGAAAACAATACATAAAGGGGTTTTTCTGTAATGCTAGTTGTGCTGATGATTTATATGTTGATGTATTTTTAAAAATTAGTGCAGACAGATTTTGTGGGAGCTCCTATTTATAAATAATTACTGCTGGCAGAAAGAAAAACATGTAAAGCTGTGAATTAAACGTATAATAAGAAATGACTAAAACATAGATTAGCAATTTGGATCAACAACAATCAGCTACAAAATTCATATTGGTACATCTTTACCTAAATGTTATATGCTTTAAAGATGAACAAATATAACATATAGTATCTTCACTTAAGATGTATTGAATTAATTAAAAACATTGTAAACAAGTGAGCTATGAGTTTTTATTGTACAACAGTTTAGATTAAACAACCAGACCAGTTTGTCTTTTGTTTATTGCTCACCATCGTTGTCTGACATTCTTCATTCATTCAAATGTTTCTCCCTGTACTCTGTTAACATTCTTTTCTTTTCAAATTTTTCAGTTTGGACACTGCCACATAGACAGACAGGTACACATTGAAGTTTAACACAGCGAGTTCCTTATTGCAATTTTCTTGTAATGTTCTTTAATAAATGCTGTTACTTTAAAATCACTTTATAGTTCTTTGGTTTATTTGTATAAAATATACTTGTTCACAGGTAACTCAGTCAGAGATTGTTAATTTATGCCCCCTTTTTCAACACATCCTCATGCATGCGATTGTTGTGAAGGACACATGGGCATGTCATGTCTTGTGCTTCATCTTCTGTCAGTGTGCTGATGCTTGAAGTTGCCATTTGTGTCAGTGTGACTTTCCTTGTTGATTACAGTTTGCTGTTTGTGGCCATTTTCTCCCCTGTTCTTTTAGCACGCCTTATATTGTCACATGGTGTTTAGCGTTAAGAGATTTTAAATAGATTAAAACACACTATTGCATCTACTTTAAAAATGAGTACAATTAATTTTAGACTGTTTTTGTTTGTTCAAATGTCTTTACTTTTAAAAGATCAAACACAATTTCTACATTTTACTTAAAAAAATTATATCTTTATTTAAAGTCTGGTCAAAAGTATTGTACTTCTAACACCCAAATAATTATTTTAATAATAAATTGGGTGATAAAACCCATTGTTAATACTGTATCATAAAAACATTATGACATAGATAGGCAAAAGTTATTTTAATGTGGTTGAAAATCTATCTGAGTCGTTCTTTTGTCCAGGATGGAATGATTGGATGCCGTTTTATTCATAAAGATATGAATAAAAAAAACTTTCCAAAAGGTTTAAGGCTCCTTTGCTTTATCACTTTATCAGTAAATTTAGAAGTGTTAAATTAACTCATAGGGACACTACACACTAGATTGAGGTTAAATAACACTGTTGAATGGGAGTTGAAATTCAAAACTTATATATCCAATATATCCAACAGAAGTATATATCATGTTTATCATTCACTCATCCATGATGGTAAGTTACATACTGTACAGGGCGCTCTGACAGAAGCAAGGCCACCGTATACAAACACCACCAGGTCTTCTGACCACCATCAGTAGATAATGAGTGTGAGGCTTGCCCAACAATACATCAGCTAAGATGGAGGGGGCTGCAGTTTGAACTGGTTGCAGGACTAACTTTAGCGTCCTGCACCAAAGCACAAAAGTCAGCTTTTGTTGTTGTTAGTGCAAGCTTTTTAGCAAGAGGTGAGATCTGCTTAGCTCCAACTGTTGGGAGCTGTCCCTTGGGAAATCAGGAGCTTAAATATCCGGTCAAACCCTGGCTCTCTACTCAGTAGCTTAGCGTTTTTGGTACATAAAGCCAAAAGTGGCACTCATCAAAGCTTGTTGACTGCTGCTGCAGACAAGGATTTGTTTTTCTATGAATTTATTTAAAACAGAATTCTGAAAGCTATTTATAGAATACTCTTCTTAGTAAACAATGGAAAGAAAACTTCCTATAATCATTGACCAACTTTTTACATGTTTCCGCTATTATTTCTAAGACTCAGCTTTGATAATGAGCTTCGAGTCTTTGAGATTAGAAGACCTTTCTCTCTAAAGATCCTCCATCAGATTTAAGTCAAGACTCTAAATAGGCATCTTTGAGTTAATCACTTCCAGTCTCAAGGAAGATGTTGATTATTTTAAGATTACCTAACCTGCCAGGGCTGTATATGAACTTGTGTTTTTAAGTGGGTGTATTTTCTTGTTGAATGATTATTTCCACCCAGGAGAAAGAACGACAGGAACGACTCATCCCCCTGATGAGTGAACAGAAACATCGGACTCAGAGTGAAAATATATATGAATATTTAGGTTCATTCACATGTTGAAAGAAGAAATTTCCGCTTAGAAATGTAAATACTTAGACTTAGTTAGCTGTCGCGCTTTCTATAGAGAAAGAAAAGAAAAGTGGGTTCTGTGGTGTTCTGTACTTAAATTAAGAGTCTTACTCAGGGTGAAGAACGTAATGAGCTGTAGACATATATGTGTACACATATGTCATATATATACATATATGTGTACTATATCAACCTGTCATTGCACTGAGAGACAGTATATCTGCTAGCTCTAATTATTGAAGCAAACATTATTGGGTAAACACTATTGCTCAATTCAATCCTTATTTCCTGAAGCTTTCAAGGATTCAGATTGTGAGGAATAGGTAATTAAAGGTAACATTGCATTAAAACATATGCAATATGACCTGACCAAGACTAAACTCTAGTAATCTCCATATAATTTAAAGTCATATAATGCTCTGGTTTGAACACTTTTTACTGCTGAACTCGTTCATCTTGATCTCTTCCCCTCTTAGAGTTAAATTTAAATTGTGTGACAGCTTTAGAAAAACACCTTTTCCTCTGAACTTGTTCTTTATTTGTTCTAATTCCTCTTTAAAGCAGATACCAACTTTGTCCTGGGGAACGCTCAGATAGTGGACTGGCCCATCGTCTACAGCAACGATGGCTTCTGCAAGCTGTCAGGATACCACAGGGCGGAGGTGATGCAGAAAAGCAGCACCTGCAGGTAGGGACAATGAGATGCTGACCTATAAGTCACCATGTGGAAGCATGTAAACCTTCACAAGACCAAATCTGAATAAGAAAACAATGATGTACTCACTTTAAATTACCGGTGGTTTTGCTTTTATACAATACTTTTGGAAGTTATTTCAGCAGTGGAAACAGATATTGCTAGTTTGTTTTTGAAAGATTGTTAAGAATATTTTTTCCCCTGGTTCTCTATCCTGACTAAAATGACTAATATCAAATTTTTTTAAAGACTTTTTTTTTTTTATCAAGTAGAACTACATTTCTACAATATCAATCTGTCTCACCTACAGCAGCATGAAATGGGATAATGATTATTTCCAAAGGTATTATTATGTTTTTTATTAATATAATTAATCGAAAAGATTTCAATCTGAAAAACTCACACTGAAAGAAAAAAACAATTAGAAGAATTTTATTGATACAGTTACTTTAGTGTTTGGTGCTCAGACCTCGGCAGGTAACATAGAGCGGACTTTTGTTTGCTAAGCATGAACAGGAATAAAGAACACCCCCCCGAAACTGGTGGTGGAGGTGAGTTAGATGAAGTTGTTCAGTCGATAGACTGCTGGTTGGCGAAACAGTATGCTTGAGCTGTATGGAGAGAACCAGTGGACTGTGTGAGCTGATACTAGAGCTTCACTCAGGGACCATGAAGATGGAAGTCCAGCTTGGATAACACAGGTTGAGAGAACTTGTCCATGATAAGAAAGCATGAAGCAACAGTGGAGTAGAAAAACTCTCCTTTGGGTAGAAATCTCTTGTAGAACCAGGCTCATGTAGCGGTATTCTGCCGGACCGGTTGAAATGAGACAGGGAACAAAGTAAGAGTCAGGGAGGAATGAAACTCTGATGAAGCTTTAGCTACGATGGTGGAGGAGGGGTTGAAACGGGGTCATCTGAATTGAAGTCTGATATAGCGCGACCACTGCCTGCACTTTGGGTAGCAGGCTGAGTTGTGGATTGGAGACCTTTTAAGATGAACTCTGGATGCTGATTGGGCTTTCGTGGAGGTGTGGTTCAAAGCAACCTATTCTCATTATGAGTTCATATGAAATCGTACGAAAAGTTATGCACCGTAATTTTGCAATTTTTGGACATTTTTTTCGTCGTATTCGCATGTGCATCTGACGCACCATTCACGAATATAGAATATAAATTACAATTAGCCCTAACCCTGACCCTAACCCTAACCCTAAGATATATAACAGCAAGCAACGTAGTTAGAGACATGAATAAGTGATGATTGCACTGATTAATCCCATTTTTACATCCGTCCGCGGATCTGTTTTTTTTTCTGTCTGCCAGCACATGCGCACTGATGTGGTTTTTTGAGGAAAATCGTCCAAAACGTATGAAATAGTGTGCATAACTTTTCGTACGATTTCATACGCACTGATAATGAGAATATGTTGTTCAAAGCAGATTAGCTGGTGTCGGAGACGGATGAAGGCGAGTAATCAGTTTATTTAGTTGAACTTCCGCCTAGACTCCATTTTCAGCATTTATGTGGTTTTAAAATTAGATCGCCTTTCTTATTTGAACAACTTCATGATAGGCTTTTTATCTACATTTATAGATCATGTACAAAATGGTTTATACTCTGATTTTTTTCTTTCTTTGTTAACCTTTGATGTATTTTTGTAATAGATGAACAACAAGTAATGAGAGAAGGATAGAATTTGACTTTCTGACCCTGTTTTCTAATGTAAACTAGACAGTTAATAAATATTGTTTTTCTGTAGTCCCTCATCGGGCCTCTACAGTTAAACAAAACTTAGAAATGCACTTATAAATTCTACCGATAGACTTGCATTGGATCTACTAGAGCTCTCAACTGACAGAGTTTGCAGAGCTTCCTCTGAGCAGATAGAAACATAATAATTTCTTGTATTTTTTGGCTAAATTTAACAAAACTAATGGCAAAAAGTTTCCATCTAACGAAACCAGCTGATTGCATTGAGTCATTACCTTTGCAGGACATGCTGTTTCTGGATGAGCATGTGGCGACAGTAAATATTCGCTTGCATTTTGTCGTTGAAGCTATAGCAATCCCACAAACTTAGCATGCTTGCCACGACAGCGGAGAGACAAAACTCTTCTAACAGGAAGAAACGTCCAGCAGAACCAGGATCAGTGTGAGTGGCCTTCTGCTAAGCCGACTGGGGTTCAAGGAGACAAAAGCAGACATTCAAAATTAACATAGAAGCACTGATCCATAAATACTTTCTCTGGTAGAAAATGTAGTAATATACTAGCTCCACAGGTGGCTCTGTTCAGCAAAAAAAAAAAAAAAAAAAAAAAAAGCAGATAAGCAGATGAGCTCTTAGCCAATTTTAATGGCAGGGATGAAAGAGAGCGCATAAAGTTAGTCACAGTGAAAGCTGAGTCCATAGCTATGTCTGGGAGAGAAACAGGACTAAAAACAAAAAAAACAGGCCCAACTCTTTCATCTTTAACTCAAGGTGTACAGTATGCATGGATGGGACTAGCTTGAGTACTAACCAGACCTACATGTAAAGTTAGTGTGCAGTTTAAACTTTAAGTCAACTGCAATAAAGGAGGCAGAGGAAGGAAAGGTGGATTAGTTAAAATAACTAAAATCTACCACCTTCTTTTTACTTTAACTTTTTAAAACTGGAGATAATGAAAAATCAAAATCCTGTTGTTTTCTTTTTTTAAATTGCAATTGAAAAAATAATAAAACCATTTTTTTGTAATCATACAGTATGTATTTACTTTGACACCATTTTTCATGTAAGTGTGGTAGGACATAAAACAGTTGTATTAAAGTAACTAATACAGTAAAGTAGATGCCAATAAGGGTTGCATTATTTTTTTCAGTGCAGTTTTATTTCAATTATCCTTTCCATTAACCCAACCACACACATCTAGAGGTTTCACTCCAGTGTTTCCTTTTTTTCACAACGCCTTCTTATCCAAAGTACATTGATGTAGGACTTCACTGTTACTGTTGAGTGGAAAATGCTTACTTCTACTTTCATGCATAGAGTTTCTCTTCCCATCTGTGTGGAGGCAGGGACAATAAAAAAAATATATAACCGGCGTCTAAAGGGCTGTAGTACGTAATTAATTGCCCAGCCCTAAGAATAATGCCAATTATATTTTTATTAAAGGCAGTCTAGGTACCATAGGATTTAGTGGAACTTCTCTTGGAGAACTTAAAGCTGAACCCTTACTTTGTAGCTCTGGTTGTATGTTTAGGGTTGATTCTCTGCTGCAGGATGAACTTCTCAAGTCTTTTGTCATTTCTAACAGTTTCTCTTTGAACCATAAATGCTTCATCGGGCTTGACATAAACTGTCCCGTACCTGCAAAAGGAATCTGTTCCCATATGATGATTCTGCCACTACTGTGTTTCATTTCGTTCAGGCTGATGTGAAGAGTTACTTTTCCCTCAAATGTAGTTTTTGGTTTATTTTCCCCTTGAAAATAGAGAGTTTTTCTCAACCTGCTTAAATATGCAGGAACTGAAACCCCCTTGGCTCTAGCTCCCATTGCTGTAAATGGGCTTTGAGAGGATTCCTCATACCTCATTGTTTAAAAAATGAAAAACATCAATCCAAAGCCAAAGGAGCACAGAACAAGTGTCAATCTGGACATTTTCTGCAGCAGTAGTGCTTTCTGTCCGTTGTTTAGAAGACAGCCTCTTCTGCAGGAAGGTGACTCGAAGGAACGCTCGAGTACAGCAGACGGAGAGACAAAGTCAGACCTGCAAGCCTTATTTGTGTAACTTATTTAATTAGTAATTTGTTTATTAGTGTGCACCAATTTCTG